TGAAAACAATTACAAAAACATGGAGGTAAATATTCTTAAAAAGGTTGCATTTGTTATTAGTTAACATGTTTTTTCATATGGAGCAGCTGTAAAAATTACACAGTATTTATTATTTGGACACAAAGACAATATTGAAGTTTCCTTATGGCACATTCTCTGAGTGTTCACTGATAAAAGCCACTTAATCACATGTAATAAAAGAGAAAAAGTCCTATTACTTTACTAAACTCCACATACATATATATACACATATGTGTAAGTCATCACAAGTTATGAGAACGTGTTTCTGATGCAAAATAATATCTTTTATGGGACACACACCCACATCCACAAAGTGTTGCGTGAATATTTCAAAAAGTACTCATTCACAAAACTTCCAAATTAACATATTGAAAGTAAAGCCCATGACAAACTATGGCAGAAATGGCCAGTATTCATCCATTAGGTGGCGCGATATACTGTGTGTCAATAACAGTAAGTCACAGAACTGCAAAATCACAATGATAGACACCAAAGAGAATAGACTATATACCTATAGTATAAGTGTAATAGATATGTGTGTTTGTGCGCACATGCATGTGTGTTTATGCATGCGTGTGTGTGTTTGTGTGGTTACATCTACAAACAATGTCATTCTGTTTAGTGCAGCGGGCGCTGTGGCGATAACCACACTTTACCGCTGGCTCCTGGTGCAGGCTCAGTGATAGTATTAGCGATAGTCTACTTTTCTGTGGCTTTTTTTGGGGTGACCCTCCACATGGTCTGCTGCCCTGACCCTCCACATGGTCTGCTGCCCTGACCCTCCACATGGTCTGCTGCCCTGACCCTCCACATGGTCTCTGTCTGCTGCCCTGACCCTCCACATGGTCTGCTGCCCTGACCCTCCACATGGTCTCTGTCTGCTGCCCTGACCCTCCACATGGTCACTGTCTGCTGCCCTGACCCTCCACATGGTCACTGTCTGCTGCCCTGACCCTCCACATGGTCTCTGTCTGCTGCCCTGACCCTCCACATGGTCTCTGTCTGCTGCCCTGACCCTCCACATGGTCTCTGTCTGCTGCCCTGACCCTCCACATGGTCTCTGTCTGCGGCCCTGACCCTCCACATGGTCTGCTGCCCTGACCCTCCACATGGTCTCTGTCTGCTGCCCTGACCCTCCACATGGTCTGCTGCCCTGACCCTCCACATGGTCTCTGTCTGCTGCCCTGACCCTCCACATGGTCTCTGTCTGCTGCCCTGACCCTCCACATGGTCTCTGTCTGCTGCCCTGACCCTCCACATGGTCGTTGTCTGCTGCCCTGACCCTCCACATGGTCTCTGTCTGCTGCCCTGACCCTCCACATGGTCTCTGTCTGCTGCCCTGACCCTCCACATGGTCTCTGTCTGCTGCCCTGACCCTCCACATGGTCTCTGTCTGCTGCCCTGACCCTCCACATGGTCTCTGTCTGCTGCCCTGACCCTCCACATGGTCGTTGTCTGCTGCCCTGACCCTCCACATGGTCGTTGTCTGCTGCCCTGACCCTCCACATGGTCTCTGTCTGCTGCCCTGACCCTCCACATGGTCTCTGTCTGCTGCCCTGACCCTCCACATGGTCTCTGTCTGCTGCCCTGACCCTCCACATGGTCACTGTCTGCTGCCCTGACCCTCCACATGGTCTCTGTCTGCGGCCCTGACCCTCCACATGGTCACTGTCTGCTGCCCTGACCCTCCACATGGTCTCTGTCTGCGGCCCTGACCCTCCACATGGTCTCTGTCTGCTGCCCTGACCCTCCACATGGTCTCTGTCAGCTCTAGACACCTTTACTGCCTCCAAATGAAGTCTGTCCCTGGCTGTATTCCTCCTTCCTCCATTGCCTCTGTCTCTCCTGAACACGGCGCTCAGACAGTATTCTTTGACCAAGACACCCGCAGAGCGCTGCTGCCACCTGTTGGCTCCATAAAACACTGTATACAGCCAAACCCCAGACTTATATGACACAGGGGACACAGAAGGAGAGGAAAATAGTACAAAACGATTTATTTTAATCAGAAATGGTGTAATACCTCAATCGATAATGACCTCAGTCAGTTTTGATGCTCTGCTATGATCCAAAAATAGATACACAACTATAATTATTTAGTGCTATAACAATGGATTTTACTCATGAAATGTCAAGACAATCCCCAAGAACATGCTGGTATATGTTAGATGAACAAATATTTATTCTGTATCAATTATAGCAATTTTGTGGCAAATTAACTATAGTATAATGTTTGATTTTGTTCCGGTTCAGGCCCGGCATAATTTCAGAACCATTATAGACCCAAAAATATTTTTTTCCGCCCTCTAATGACATGATGAATCTTCCCAAAGGTTTTGAAGTGGACCAAAACTGTCAAAATAATAAATAAATAAATGTCAAAATCTACAAATTATTATTAATATAACTCAACAAATTATGAGATTTAATAAATATATACTATTATTATAAAAATTGTTTGCTTCAAAACTAAACAAAACACTAAAGCTTTATTACGTTCTGTCTGCATTTATTTATTTCCTTGTTCATTCAAAGGTTAAGATTTTAAATAAATATTTTATTATTATTTAACTGCAGTTGTGTGCCCAAAGGAATAATTAATCCTTATTATTTTCTTCCTGCATGTATTCATTTTCTTCATAAGTCAAAAGTAACAATTTGTCGTGAAATGATCAAATTGAACATCAATAATGATCTCAGATAATCGTATCATCAGAGATACGGCTCTTTTCCTCACACACAAGAGAAAACATTATCATTCACACTTGTGTCATTGTATAAATACTAAAAAGGTAATGTTTCTCTAAACTGGGGGTGTTGTGAAGTGAAAGGACAGTTTGGACTCACTTGGGAACCGGCACTTTGATGACGGTGCCGTCAGCCTCTGGGTTCAGGTTCATGCTGCTCTCTCTGATGGCGCGAGTGGCAGCAGCAGTCTCCTGGAAAACCAGACACAATCACTTCATTCAATTCAGTCACTTTAAAAGTTGAAAAGAATTGTAACAAATGTAAAGTTTTCAATAATCTAAAGAGTACTATTGATTAATCGTTAAATGCTTTATACACAGAATTCTACCGAATGTTTGTACAGAGAAATGTTATTTTAGGACTTAAACAGTCAGTCTCAGATTGCTATCGGAGAGTAGTGCCAACACCATCCTCTTGATCTGCTTTTGTTAATGAAATAAGTCTAAACCTTGAATGGAACATTTTAAGACAAAGTCAATAACTTATTTAACTTACCTTTTGTGATTTTGACCAGTGTTTTTATACCTCATATTTATCACCTTCATCTAATTTGACAATATTGATCACCTCTACTTTACTTACTCCAGTACTAATTCATTGTTTGCAAGTCTGAGTCTGAATGTGCAGAGCAGGGAGTTGCAGGTGCTAAGGGGTGTCACAAAAGATAACTTTAATGTCATTGTTGATTAGTCAAGATGAATAAATATGTACAATGATATTTGTAAGCACAAACAGAAGAACTGGATTAAAGATTGTGATAAACAAGCTGGGACCACAGGTCGTGACAAATGGTCCTTTGAGCTCTGTGCTGTGCACAGTGCTGCGAGTGCAGAGGCACAGGTAGTGTGTGATGCAGCTGTGAGTCATTATGGTTCTTGCTCACAGGCAGCAGTGGAAACGCCTCAGGCTGCTGTCAGACCAGGTCCAGTGTCAGACCAAGTCCACAGGGACAGGACTGAGAGGTTGCAGGGCAAGGCAGTAACCCCTGCTGACCCCCTCCAGAGTCTGCTAGTGCTGTGTATAAACATGGTTACCAGCACAAACACAGATGTGACGTGGGCTTTGCGAGCCCTAATAAGATAATTTAAACTATTAAGGCTTCTTGTAAGACCATTAGAGGGAATTATTATTAAGAGTAAAGGATCTACACATATAACAAGATATTTTTGTCACCTATACAGTTATACAATAGGGTCAAATAACTAATACAGATAACGTTTGTGTTCACTGGCTTAAGATTGTGGAAAAAAAAAAGGCATACCTAGAATAAATTATGTTTACACTGTAGGTAACATCTAAGAGAAAGGAACTGTTTTGTGATTAGTTACTACCATAATTGAGCTGCACTACCAACATAATCTTTGAAACACAACGACCCAACTCAGTCAGGAGGAAGCTGATCGTGCTTGAATTGGAAAGTGTTTCCCAATCAAGGGTACAAGAACTTTTAAGGGTATGAAAAATAATAGAGCAGCATAGGTGTGGTTCATTGTAATCCCAATCTTATTATAAATGTAGACATTTTAATGAAAATGTGTTAATGTACAGGGATGCTTCCTGTATATTAAAGCATTTTTATCTAAATGTCAAGAGTGCCTCAGATTTTACTTAATCTTAAGCTTCCAGTGTTTTTTTCCACTGCTTATCCTGATGAGCACCTGACACAGTTAGACCCACTGCAGCACTCATCTCTCTTGAACGTTTTTATAAACATATGTTTTGTATACCAGTTAGGGAGTAACATGCGACACAACCTGGTGGGAAATCAAAAACAACTGGTCTGGCAGCAGTGTATTAAAAAAAGACGTATGAAAACCACAAACTTTGTCTTTTTATATCCATATCCACTGATCCATAAGCAACACATGTCCACCTCATGCTCCATGTAAAATACAATCCCCTTTTCCCAAATCACTAACAGCTCCAGTGAATACAGGCCCTTGACTGGGAGAAGCAGGCCAGATTTGAACAGTCACACTGCTCAGATTGTGTTGGAAAACCGCATGACAACTCCCCAAGCCGGGCTTTACAAAGGGTGCAAATGTACAACACACCGCTTCATTTCCGATATCCCATCTCCTCTTTCTAGACAGCTTCTCCTGGCCTCTTCCTCTGAGAAAGCTCAATGGCAGTCAGATTAAAGGAATTTATTTGTATGCATTAGATTAATTCAGCAGATCTAATTTCTTTTCTTTTGTTAAAATCATCCGGTTTTCTTTTGAGTGCGGGGTGATGTATTCGCTTCATACCTATGTTTGATTGTTCTCAGCGTCATATTCATCACTGTTTCCTGCCTCCAAAGACTCTGCCAGTGGTTATAGAAAGCCGAGCAAAATTCTCTGGGAAGCCAAAACCAGGCAGATCTGGTTAATATGCTGGAGAGGAAGAGAAATTACACTGAATAGCAACATCAAACACCAAGAGCCGGCTTCAAAGCGGAGTCTGACTATGACTGTATGTTTTTGAAGAGATTTTTGTGCATATGGATATCAGGGAAATAACACACACACAGACACATGCTCTTGTGGCTCCAAAAGTTCCACAGCAGAATAAAAAGAGTAATGAAAAACAATAGCAAAATGGCAGCTATTCTTTTTAATTGATAGAAAAAGCTGTTTAGTGATCGGTTCAGAGGACTTCAGAGCAACACATTGAACATCACCCTGTGTGTGTGGTCCCAGGTGCAAATTCTAGTGGGAGAGCCCATTTAGTTTAAAGCTTTAGAGATGGATGGTATAATTTGCTTTGATTTGCATGCTTTGTGAATCTGTGAATTTTGGTTTGGAACTCTCTACATATACACCTATATTGTCCACAATTGAGTTATCTTATAAAATAAGATTTCAGTTTTAAATAATCCTTGTCTGTACAAGTTCCTTCACATGCATTATTCAATCACATCATACATGGTGGTGGTACAATAGCACTGTAGCCACAGCTGCCCTGGGGCTATATGTGTATAAATACACATATAAATACTAAGGATGATAAAAATAGTCAATGATTATTTGTGATAAAATGCGTCATAAATCCTCATGAGTCGTTGAAGCACTAGACAGGATTGATTCAGCGACAGACCATCTAAGAGAAAAGTGGGAGCCAAAAGGGTCAAACAGAGAAAAATAATGCGTTCCTTCCTAACCTAAGGGTAAAGTGAGGTCATTTCCCTTTCTGTGACAACTCACAAGCTCAAGTCTCAGCCTCTACACACACAAGCGCACACACACAAACGCCTGCCCGCACACCCACACACACAAACGCACAAGTGCACACACACAAACGCCTGCCCGCACACACACACACACACACACACACAAACGCCCGCCCGCACACACACACACACACACAAACGCCCGCCCGCACACACACACACACAAACGCCCGCTCGCCCACACGCACACACACACACACACACACACCCCCCCAATTAATTAGCATACAAGACAAAGTCCAAAAAAGGTGCTCAGGTTTCGTGCTGGTTCTGGGCTGCCTCACATTCCCTTCACACACGATTATTTTGATAAACTCAGTTGCGAGTCGCAGCCTGCTTGTCCACAAGACAAACGCAAGGTGAAGGGACAGCTCTTACCTCGGGGAAGCTGCTCATGTTGACCACAATGAGCTGAGGGGACTTCATGGATATCTGGCCCATCTGGTTCAGGGGGAACTTCCCGTCTTGAGTCGTCACCACAATGTGATCAAGAGCTCCTAAACAAGACAAATACGTGAGACGGTTTACCAGAAACTAAACAAGAGTTTAATATTAATATTAACAATTACAATAATTGTTGCATTAAGCCTTACATTATCTCACTTTATGTTGAGATAACGTAAAGTGTGTGTAAACTTGTTTTTATCCTGGAAAGCGCCCTGGGCACCTTCTGGCTGTTGTTGGGCGCTATACAAATAAAAATTTGATTGAATTTGATTGAAAGTGTCTGACATCTAATCCTAAGAAATTACCACTAAATATTATATTGTGCCAGGGACAGGTCCGAGGTAACAAGTCAGATGAGGCGCAGGACTGCACGCAAATGATATCTATGATCATGCCAGAGCCCCACCCTGGAGCCAGGCCCTGGGTTGTATGCAAGGGGACTCTGTTAACCCCTTAAGGCCTGACCCACCTGGTAAAACAGACCTGTAAAACCTATGGCCGACTTCAGAACCACCTCCAAAACCTGAAGTTTTCCTGAAATTCAACGTCTACTAAATGATTGATATCTCGGCCTCTGTTGCCGATAGAAAGAAAATTTCAAAAGAATTTGAGAGCTGACACTTGTGGCTTTCAATAAGAATGCAGTGTATTATAAAAACCTTCAGTAGAATAATACGAAAAATATAAGTAAGTAAGTAATCTTTATTTATATACCATTCACAGATCTGAGTCTCAAAGCGGTTTACAATTGTTAATTTTTTGGGCATTTTGTCTCTCACTCCACACAGAGATGGGAGCAGGGTCGCCAGTACAGGAGGCACATGCCAGAACTATTGTACATGTTTTTAGTGGTAGGGGAAACCGGAGCCCCCGGTGAAACCTATGCAGACACAGGGAGAACATGCAAACTCCACTCAGAAAGGCCCTGTTCCGCACGGGATTCGAACCCAGGACCTTCTTGTTGAGAAGTGTGAGTGCTATCCACTCAGCCGCCTAATACAACTTCCACACAGGAAAGGTAATAAAACAACCAAAAATAATGTAAGACTATCACATGTTTTTCAATACAATAAGTCAAAAAGTTTGGCAAATAAGTGGTACTAACTATGTGGAAACAAATATATAAAAAAAATCCACTCTCAGCCCAAAAAGTCAAGTAATGACTCACTGGGCTCTTTGTTGATATAAAATAAGTAATTTTATTTATTCTAATATTACAGGTAAGTCCCGCCTTCCCTTCTCTTGGCTATAGCTCAGAATCCACGATGCCGTCCACGTTAACCAATCGAGTCATGCCAAGGGCTGTCAATCATCAGCGCTGATGCTCGTAGCTGCTCATGCTCAGTTGTTTGTTTTCACGGAGCCTCAGAATCAAGCCTCTATTTATATATGAACCTATATCCATAATCATTTATATATGAATCTATATCCATAATCATTTATATACTGAACCTATATCCATAATCATTTATATACTGAACCTATATCCATAATCATTTATATATGAACATATATCCATAATCATTTATATATGAACCTATATCCATAATCATTTATATACTGAACCTATATCCATAATCATTTATATACTGAACCTATATCCATAATCATTTATATATGAACCTATATCCATAATCATTTATATATGAACCTATATCCATAATCATTTATATATGAACCTATATCCATAATCATTTATATATGAACCTATATCCATAATCATTTATATATGAACCTATATCCATAATCATTTATATATGAACCTATATCCATAATCATTTATATATGAACCTATATCCATAATCATTTATATATGAACCTATATCCATAATCATTTATATATGAACCTATATCCATAATCATTTATATATGAACCTATATCCATAATCATTTATATATGAACCTATATCCATAATCATTTATATATGAATCTATATCCATAATCATTTATATATGAACCTATATCCATAATCATTTATATATGAACCTATATCCATAATCATTTATATATGAACCTATATCCATAATCATTTATATATGAACCTATATCCATAATCATTTATATATGAACCTATATCCATAATCATTTATATATGAACCTATATCCATAATCATTTATAAACTGAATCTATATCCATAATCAGATCCTCTGCAGATGTGTCCTATAATGTTCAATCAATGATAATAGCTACTTTCGGGTTTACCGCGATCGCCTTTTTTTGTCATGAAAACGTTAACAAATAATTCTGAAAACCTCTGTGCATGTGTGTTAATAATGTATATGAATAATGTGTTCTCTCATTAACATTGAAATGTGTTGATTGATTGTTACGGAAACATGGGCGTAGACCAATCAGAAAGGAAGGGGGAGGAGCTTGGGTCGTTTTTTTCAAATCATGCACCTCTCTCTCATTTTTTTTGACAAACTCCAGACTATCACTTTAAGTAAGCAAAATTAAAAAAACATGAATGTTGTGGTGTGTTTTGTTTGATTTGTTCACAGCATTTTACTTTTGTGCTCAAATAACATGCATTGTCAATGCAAGCAAAAATGTAGGTGCCTGAGCTTTAATTCAGTGAATTTTGGCTGCACTTCGTGAGGAGACGTGGGTGAGACGGGGGAGACATGGGGAAGAGACCCACGTGCCATAAGCTGGGATGGTCCTGATCGTGCTTGTAGAATTCTGTCCGTGCGTCTATGGTCCGCGGTACATGACCTCGTTACGGCTGCATGTTCGCTGAGCTGTGTCAAAGCGGCCACAGTTGCTCCCGGGGTCAGAACGGAGGATTTTAATCCCGTTCGAGTACGTAACGCAAACAGCCCGCGGTCACACATTTTACGGATTTCGCAGATCCGCACATAATTCTCATCACAGGTATATCTTGATGCGTTTCATTGGTCAGGAGAATAGATCAATGAAGAGAATAGGTCAAAAAAAAATGTGTCCGCTTTCCCGGCCCAAAAGGTAGAAACGCGGGAATGCGTTCCCGGCCTCGATGGGTTAATTTGGCCCCCTCTGATCTGAACCCGAGCGGTGTGGATCCTCTGGCAGTGGAGGAAAGGGATGCCGTCCGGCTGAAGAAGGAGTCCTACCAAGGGACTCCCGAGGCAGCTGTCCAGTACCGTCAGGCCAAGCGGGCCGCTGCCCGGGATTTTGCAGAGGCAAAAACCCAGAACTGGGAGGAGTTCGGAGAGTCCAATCCCCTCATCACCTCCTCCGTTTCGGAGGCAGAGGCTGAGGATCTTAACACTGCACCAACTGACTTTATTTTTGTATTCATTACAAAAATTCAATCCATGTCCATGCAGTGCATTGGGATATACAGTACGTCCTTTTAAAGAATAAGTAGCGCAGATTTGTGCTGGCGTGTTTATTTTATTTTAGATGGAGTTTTTGTGAAACAAGGAAGAGAATGTGTTTCGGGTCCCGATTGTGACCAATCACAGCAGACCACTGGCCCCCACTTTCTTGAGAAAAGCCACAGGTCTGTGGTTAGCACAGACAGCTGAGGTAAACAAGCAGCGGAGGCTAACCTGAAACTTCCCGTGTCTTCGTTCCCGGTTACTGCTTACTCAGAGAAACATCCAAATGAAAGTCTTGTTCCTCCGCGCTTCCCGGTTCTATCATTCTATGGTCACGCCATCCACGTTCAAATGTGTCCATATTGTGAGACGTGAGCAGAGGCTGAGGGGAGAGGGGGGTAGTGGGGGGCGAAAGCTCTGTGCAGGGAGGGCGAGCAGAGAGTGTTCAGTTAGTGCAGCTTTAAGGTGAATACTTTCATATCCCTTGCTAAAGTCACCTAGGTTGTTGGCAGACCCCAGGACTACCTTTAGACTAGATGTTGTAGAACTGTCTTGGCTGACATGTCTCTGAAACATTGCGTGTCGAGTGGGGGCAGTGCCAGTGGGTGGTGGTCGCTCTCCTTAAGGAGGGTGTGTTCCATTTATTCTGGGATCACACTCCACAGCCTCCTGGAGAGGAGACTCCAACCAATAGTCAAATCTCAGATTCAAGTGGAACAGTGTGGTTTTCGTCCTGGCCGCGGAACATTGGACCAGCTCTCTAACATCCATCGGAAATTCAAGGGTTCATGGGAGTTTGCCCAACCTGTCCACTTGTGCTTTGAGGATCTGGAGAAGTACGGGGAGTACGGGGCCAACTAGTCGCTGTATGACCGCACGTAGGCGCAGCCTAGATATTCGGGCCGTAGGGAGTCCGGTCTGGGGAGCACATGACTTTATCTCTGCTGTTTGCAGACTATGTTGTCCTGTTGGCTCCAACAAACCAGAGACCTTCAACAACTGTTTGAAGCCGAGAGAGAAGCATGCTGCTCGAACGGACGATGGTGCCTTGCCCTCTCCAGAATGAGGTCAAGTATCTTGGTGTCTTGTTCACAAGTAAGGGAAGGATGGAGCGTGAGATTGCCAGGCGGATCGGTACAGAATGTGCAGTAATGTGGGTGCTGTATCCGTTGTGGTGAAAAGGGAGCTAAAGCTCACTATTTACCAAGACTGTACAACAGACCTGTATGAGTTTCCTGCAGCTGGACACCTGAATTTCTCCTACGAGAGATCAATAAAGTATCTATCTCCCTTACTAGGTCGATCTACATTCCCACCCTCAGCTATGGTCGAAATGAGCTTCTCTGCAGAGTGGCTGGGTGCTCCATTAGGGATAGGGTGAGGAGCTAAGCAGCATGGGAGGAGCTTGGAGTAGAGCCGCTGCTTCCCCATCTGTTTCCGATGCCTCCTGGACTCCTCCCTGGGGGGGTCTTACAGGCAATTTGCCCCTGGTGGGATGAATAAAGTAGTCTGAATCTGAATCATGTCCTGCCGGGAGGAAGCCCCGGGGGAGACCAAGGACACGTTGGAGGGAGACATTCTCAGATGGCTTGGGAACGCCTCAAGATTTCCCTGGATGAGCCAGAGGAAGTGTGTGAAGATAGAGAAGTCTGGGCATTTCCGCTTAGAATGCTGCCCCTTTCAACCTGGCAACTGATGAAACGGAAGAAACTGGATGGATGATATTGTGCTTCGAGGAGAGTAAAT